TGAGTGCTTTCCTTAATGTGTGTACTATCCACTTCCAGCTCTTCTTCTTGATTTCTTCCTCCGCTGGGATCTGGTTTGTTCTCTCCCACAGTTGGTTGTTGCTAATAGTGTCCGGCCAACGGATCTGAAGTATTTTGCGTAGACAACTGTTAATAAACACCTGTATTTTCTGGATAATGGCTTTCGTAGTTCTCCAGGTTTCTTCCCCATACAGTAGAACTGTCTTAACATTTGTATTGAAAATCCTGACCTTGGTGTTGGTTGACAGTTGCTTTGAGTTCCAGATGTTCCTCAGTTGCAAATATGCTACTCTTGCTTTGCCGATCCGCGCCTTCACGTCTGCATCAGATCCACCCTGTTCATCAATGATGCTGCCCATCATTAATAAAGTTCATGTTTTTTAAAGAAATCGATCAAACTCACTTTTGTATATCAATGAATAAACACTACATACATTAGATAATTATAAAGTCCCAATTTATTCAATATGTAGTAAATTAGTTAATAACTTTTGATTGAATTTCATTGAAATCATGAACTAATCAATGTTAAAACATCGTTGAAAACCTGGAAGCACTCGACTGCCGTTTCTTCATAGTATCGAACTCCTTAGCAGTGAACATCATATGCTCACTAATGATTAACTTCTAAATGGATTTCATAGAGTTCTAGTGAGAAGTCGTAACCTATGGAGTCCAATCCGTGTCGGATTGAGACATTTATCCACTTTAGACAATGGATGAAGGATTTCACATGGTCATGGATTGATTGAAGTTATACATTTACACCGTTGAAAGCCAGTTTAGTGGTCTAGAGGTCAAGCGTTCTCACGTGAGATCAAAAGTCCTGGGCTCAAGTTTCACATGCGGAGTCATGAATGCGCACTGCTGAAGACTCCCACATATTAAGATGAAACGGTTGTCGAGTGCTTCTAGGTTTTCTATGGTGGTCTAGCATAGATCGACTCATGAATTCAACTATCAAAATTACTACAATGTGTACAACTTCACACAGCTTCTCATTAGTTCATTGTAATTACAACTCATTTATAAACGTTATTAACAATATTGGCTTTATTCCTTGTGAATTGTATGGAATTTGACAGACCAATCGAGGTTTTCTCATCTCTGATTTTTTACAGCACTTTACATCATTAAATTATTCATTAATCAAAGTAAGAAATAAGCAAAAATGGACGATGGCTACCATTGGATTCTAGGACGCGCGTTTCGTCCTATTTGGGACTCGTCAGATGGATGTACTTGTATCTCAGAGTTCATGTTCACTTATAAATGGGAAGATTCAAGTAAACAATACTTAGTGAATTTAAACTTCACCACATTACACAAGTAAGTGATTATCAAAACTCAGTAGCAAAGTGGATAACACGAGAGAGTTTGAAGCGAACAGTATTGGATTGAAGTTCCAGAGTGAATATAAACTGTAAGATGCATGTACATCCAGCTGATGAGTCCAAAAACGGACAAAACGCGCATTCTGGATTCTACTACTAACCATCATTCATCTCTGCTCATAATGCCTGTGACGTAGGGCAATGTCGAGGCAGTCCGCACAGGATGCACGTATGCCAACAAGAGACTGATCAATTGCAGTCCTAAACATCAATGGGAAGATTCCAGTAAACAATACTTAGTGGATTTAAACTTCACCACGTCGCTCAAGCAAGTGGCTATCAGGACTCGGTAGCTAAGTGGATAACGCGAAAGAGTTCGAAGGGAACGGTATTGGATTCGAGTCCCGAGGTGGACATAACTGTGAGATGCAGTTACATCCATTCAACAAGTTCCAAGTTAGATGAAGTGCGCGTCCTGGGTTCCACTACTAGCCACTATTCATCTTTGCTTATAAGGTTTTTGAATCAAGGCAATATTGAGGCAATACGCACAGTATGCACATATGCCAATGAGAGACTGATCAATCACAGTCCTAGACATCAATAGGAAGATACAAGTAAACAATATTAGGTGGATTTAAACTTCATCTTATTGCACAAGCAAGTAGCTATAAGGTCTCAGTAACAAAGTGGATAACGTCGATAGCGTTTGAAGTGAACAGTAATGGGTTCCAGTCCCAGAGTAAACATCAATTCCGGAATGCATGTACATCCAGCTGACGAGTCCTAAATAGGAGAAGACGCGCATCGTAGATTCCACCACTAACCACCATCCATCTTTGTTACAGTTTTTTTACCGCAAGCTTTATGAAAAAGAATATCAACTTGCATGTATATGCATGCACAATTGATTGGTCGTTGGGTGGTAGTTGATCAATGTCATGTGTGTCAAGTCCTTCTTAATGCAGATCGAATCCTATCGACCAAGTTGCAATATGGCCACTAATCTAATCTAAGTCAACAGGAATCCCTGGACCCGGGTTTCGTGCTACTTGGCACTAGTTAGCAAGGTGTACCTGTAATCTTGAGGGAACTGGTATTCCCCGACGGATTCGATCCCGTATCACCCAGTTTCACAGTCAGAGACTTTACTACTGGGCTATCCGGGCCGCGACCTACCTCATGTAGGACTGATATGTAATCACGATTGATTGATCAGTGGGTGGTGGGTGATCAATGTCATGTGTGTCAAGTCGTTCTTAATGCAGATCAAATCCTATCGACCAAGTTGCAATATGGCCACTAGTCTTAGTGACTCGACATTCCGTGCACTATGCAAAACATTTATTCATAATAAGTCAATCCAAATAAAACTTAACCCAGGAAACAATAAAAATATATTGATTTGATCAAACTTGATGCCTTTCGACTGAAATAAAGTATATACATGTATATGTGCGCGTGTATATGTAGAAGGAGGTGGTGGTGGTGGATAGAGAGGGGTGTTTTTTTTGTTCACAATATTCACATTCAATATTATCATGATATTCAGAAATAGTGTATAGAGTTACATAATCGATAATATTAACCTGTTGTTTTGTTTTGTTTTTCAATATGAAATCATATAAGTAACCATAGTAACTTAGTCATGCTAGTTGTAATATACGATTTATGTATGTATATATGATGTATATTATGCTATAGACAAATACGAATAGAATTAAACATCTCTCTCTATATATATATATGTATAGTAACATTGTATGAGAGGCACATCGAGTTATACAATCCAAATAACATTGTCCATTGTGTTGATAAGGCTTATATAGTACTGTCTGAAGATAATCAGAGTATGTAGATATTATCAATAAGAGACTGATCAATAAAAGTGGTCTGCTTAAATATCTGGGCTATCTGTTCCTTCCTATCATCTAGATATTTCAACAAGGTATCTGTCTTTTGCTTGTTTATTTCAACAGATCATTATCCATTCAGACGTGTTTACGAAATGTTTACGACATTTCATTGTACTAGTTACAAAAGGGCCTAATCACAGACATCATGTTGGATGGCAATATACATCGAAAACAATGTACATTATGCAAATGTCGATTCTAGGACTGTTAACTTCTAGCTGATAACCACTCAATACTTATCTCGTCAGGATCAATCAAGAACTAAGAAACGGAAACTCGCTGAAGTACTTTGTGCTGAGAATTCTATATTGTATCAAAAATATAATGTTGAATTAAGCCAATAATAACAATTATCAGTATAGGGTTGTGAAGATTATGAAGCTTTTTTTGATTGAGATCATGAACTGATTGATGTTAGACCATCATTGAAAACCTGAAAGTACTGGACGGCCGTTTCGTAGGACTCCTCAATGGTAGTGAGCATCCACGATTCCACTCGAGGGCTTCGAATCCATGTAGATTTCAGATGACCTTGGGCTTCTGGAAAGTTCCGGAACGTTAATAAACATAGTAACAGGATAGTGGTAATCATCCAATCAGAAATGTGATAGGTGACTTTTCACTTTCTAGATGCTTTTGAAAAACGTCTATTGAGTGCTGTTAATATTAGATGTTTCCAAGTGTTTTCACAGATCCTCTAAGCTTTTTTTGAAGGAATTTTCCAAGACTCTCCAAAAATTTCTAGATTTGTAAACTATTGAGTAGGATTCACAAAATAAATAAATGAATTTATTGGTTGCATTCATCAGTCAATTGAAGCTACACCACCATTGAAAAATCTGGAAGCACTAGACGACCGTTTCGTCCTAGAATAGGACTCCTCAATTTCAGTACGCATCCATGATCCTGCCTCGTGAGATTCGAACCCAGGACTTATTAGTCTCGTGCGTTAACACTTGACCTGTAGTCAATGAGCTGGCCGGCATTCAATGTTGTTAACGTCTATTTTCAACCAATCGACAGAATTTATGTTTTTCTATTCACATTGTATGCGAGGATTGACAAAGCAAGGATCACATTCCTACAATCGAAAAACATATGGAACTCAAAACAACTGTCAACCAATATCAAAGTCACAATCTTCAATACGAATGTCAAGACAGTTCTACTGTACAGAGCAGAAACTTGGAGAACTACAAAAACCATCATCAAGAAGGTGCAAGTATTTATAAATAGTTATCTACACAAGATACTCAATGTCCGTTGATCGGATACCATAAGCAACAGCCTACTGTAGAAGAGAACAAATCAGCTTTCAACTGAAAATGAAATTAGGAAAAACGTTGGAAGTGGATAGGACATACATCTACAAAATCATCAAACTGAATCACGAAGCAAGCCCTAACTTGGAATCCTGAAGGGAAGCCCCAAAAAAGAGGAAGGCTAATGAACACATTACGTCACGAAATAGAAGCAGATATGAAAAGGCTGAATAACAACTGGAAACGATTGTCCAGGACAGGACTGGATGGAGAGTGCTGGTATTGGTCCTACGCTCCTCGACGAGGAGTAACAGGCGTAAGTAAGTAAGTAAGTAAGTAAGTAAGTCCTCATATTGTTATTCTTTCTTTCTTTATTCATTTGAGTTCATTCTATTCTACAAAATATTATCCTGTTACCAATAGTATTATTATGTTAGTTTTCAATTAATTTATGCAAATTTAATCAAATTAGGTTAATTGAAATCTAAAATAAAAAGTACATAAAGAAAAAAAACTTTTTTTTTCTTCTTTTTTTTAATCAAACAATGAACTTGATCGATAATTGGAAACATCAGAATTATCCATAATATATTGATTTTAGATAGATAGACTATCATTGGAAACTAGGAAAAGTTGAATAGTTACGACACCTCAATAGTGTACACTGATGAATTTTGAGATGGCGGTGAAGATTTGTAGCTCAGGTGGATGATTTTGATGAAGTTTTGTTCTCTGTGCTGGATGGTTTAGTCGTGAAGCTTTCATCGTTCCTCTGAATGACATCATCAGCTTAAACAAAGCTCCACAACCAAACCATCCAGCTCAGAGAACAAGACTTCATCAAAAACACTAATGAATCCACTTCATACGGTCAATTTCAAGGAATTTAGTTTCATGTATGAAGGCTCAGTTTCAAGACCATTGAACTGATATCTAACCATTTAAAAAGTATAACTTCAATCAATTCACCATATTCAATGACCGTCTTTCAGTGCTTACGGTGGATATCTTTCTTACACTCAACATGATTAAAATCCACTGGTCACTAATTCTCAATGGAATTCTAAGAGTTGTATCTTAAGGTCAGTCACTAGTGAGTACACGATTCATTATAGTTAAACATTAGCACTATCGGATGTTGACTTAGTTGTTTAAAGGTTAGACGTTCGCTCAAGATTAAATGTCCCTGGATTAGACTCCATACGACGGGGTCGAGCTAAGGTATTTGGTGAAGTAAACCATGAAAGTTCTACAATCTTGACAAAACTTTAACGTAATAAAAGATAATAGTTTAATGAATGGAACAGATAATTATTAGTTATTTTTTTCTTTACATTTACTTACTTTCTCCTGTTACCCCGAATGGAGCATAGGCCGCCAACTAGCAAGAATTATGTTTTTCTGGTTGGCGTTTTTTTAGCGAGTTAGTTTTCTACGGGATGGGGTCACTAACCTCATGCCCAACCCTCCCACTTTATCCGGGCTTGAGACCGGCAGTAGCTCAAGAGAGGCTCCGGGAGGAGTGAGTTATTTCTTTCTAGCTATTAATAATCACCATTAATAGGTGAATTGATTTAAACTTTACGTGTACAATTACATGCAGGCTTCTCCATGCCTCATTATTTATCCAACTGTTGGGATGGTTTTCGAGAACTACGATGAAGTTTCCAAAGGCCCTATAGTAGTCGATTAGTTTCCATCCAATCAGAACATCATGGAGCTTTCTAGAATATCAACGTGACATGCTACTGTTGAACAGTAGAAAAACATGCCTCTCTTCGGATTGACTGAAAGCACTTCTTCTGTCTTCTAATTTGCGGCTGTGAGGTTCTATACGTCCGAATGCCGTAGTTGTATACTGTATTCTGCATTAATCAAGTTGTGAACATAACACCAATAAAGACAGAGTTTATCTTCCTTTTTTCAATAGTCAATCAATGTGTAATACACAACACTTTAGGTCATTATCCCATCCATTTGATAGATGGGCACTATATATCACAGTTTGATATGAAATCTTTAATGAGAATTATACGTCAGTATTCAATCAATAAAAGTTTAGTGAAAGGAAAAATGAACAAAAGTTCTATGAATAACACACTCTTTGGATAACGGAAACGTAACAGATAACTTCAATCAAAAGAATGATTGGAGGCAAAGATAGATATTGGCTACCAGTGGATTCCAGGAAAAGCGTTTCATCCTATTTGGGACTCCTCAGTTGGATATACCTGTATCCCAGGGTTGATTTAAACCTCACCACATTTCACAATCAAGTGGCTATCAGGAATTAGTAGCTAATTAGATAACGTGATAGCATTTGAAGTGAACGTTACTGGGTTCAAGTCCCATAGTGAACATCAACTCTGCGGTGCAGGTACATCCAGCTATCGAACCCCATATAGGACGAAACGCGTGTCAGACTGGATTCCACTGCTAGCCACTGTCCGTCTTTGCTTATAATGCTTGTGAATTAAAGTAATATCGAGGCCATACGCACAGTATCCACATATGTCAATGAGACCAATCAATTGCAGTCCTAAGTAACAATGGGAAGATACAAGCAAACAATACTCAATGAATCTAAAAGAAATGATGTTTTAAAAGTAATATATTTGAATATTCCCATCACTCGCTATTTACTAATCATTGTTAAGGGCTTGAAACACAAATAATGTTTCACCTTATCAGGAATTCATCATTTGAATGCATTTGATTCCTAGAGTGTATGCTCATTACAACATCTAAACCCAGTACTTTTTTCACAACCGGAGCCTTTGACCTAAAGGTCTAATCCACAAGGCAGTGGAGCAACGTCAGGAGCTGTAGTCACATGGTAACCGGTGATCAACGATTGGTTCATACGCCATTTGTTGTTTCAGGAAACTGGATCTCATGTGGACCATTGATTTGGAATCAGAATTTTCCAACTCCCCTAGTTAGACTCCTTGTGTCCACCAACCTGATTGAATCGCCGAACATTCGCTTTATTATTATTATTATTTGAACACATAAATATTGGTACAAGAGAGCGCCAATATATATGCGCCACACAAAACAATGGGAATTCGAAGAGAAGTAGAAAGAAAAAAAAACTAAGAAACGCAAAAGAAAAAGAGAGTAATGACGAAGAGGTACAATCAGAAGAAATCTTTCAGGTAAAGGAGACACAACCACCTTTTATGAAGGAAGTAAAAGAAGGTTACAGCAGGATCGCCACTGGCTTCTATTCTGAGCCATATCTGATAACGTCTCTAGCCACTGTGTAGCACCATCTCTCGGACCCCAACCAGGGAGTCGTGAAGGACCAACACAAGCCAGTCCTTTGCAGCTTTCTTTCATGCCACGACACCATGTCATGCACTGACCACCTCTCCGCTTCTTCCAACCAGTCCCAGAGTCGGCAAATAATGCACCACGTGGAATTCTCTGGGGCGACATTCGGAGAACATGTCCAAGCCACCGAAGTCGGTGTTTCAAGATGGTGACACCAATTGAGTTATCATCTCTGTGCCCGAACACACGATGCCGAACCTCTGCATTACTGACATGGTGTTGCCACTGAATGTCAGCAATCCTTCGGAGACAGCGATGATCGAACACAGAGAGTCGTCTAACGTCCTCAACTCCGAGAGGCCAGGTTTCACAAGCATAGAGCAAAACTGCTCTCACCGACGCGTTGTAGATCCGGCCTTTAACAGCCAGACTAACATCACGAAGGCGCCAAAGGTGGCCCAGATTGGCATAAGCCGCTCTGGCTTTCACTATTCGTGCATTGATCTCATCACTCACACCCCCACCAGCACTTATGCAGCCACCCAGATACACGAACTTCTCAACTACGTCTATCTGCTCACCGTCCAGGGTGAGTACAGGATTGGAATCCTGCCAGTCTTGTAGAAGTACTTTGCACTTCGAAGGTGCAAAGCACATACCATACCTACGGACATTGATTGCCAACTGATTAAGTGCGGATTGCATGCCTTGGGCATTATCGCACAGTAAGACAATATCGTCCGCATACTCAAGGTCGAGAAGTCTTTCTCCAGGCAACAGATCCACACCACCATTACTTACATTCATCAGAGCTGTTTCCAGAATGTCATCGATGGCAAAGTTGAAGAGGAATGGTGAGATTGGGCAACCCTGCCTAACCCCACTGCTCGAATGGAACAATGGAGAGAGGTGGTTGTATGCCCTCACTCTGCCTGAGGTGTTTTTATACAGGGCTTTTAGGATGTTGATAAACTTCTCAGGCACACCCTTCTTCAATAGACAATCCCAGAGAACAGTCCTATCCAACGAATCGAAGGCAGCCCTGATGTCAAGAAACACTACGATTGTTGGCCTTTGAAAAGTATGGCGGTGTTCTAACATTTGGCGGAGGGTGAAGATATGATCAATACATCCTCGACCAGAACGAAACCCAGCCTGCTCCTCGCGAGTCAATCTTTCTCGGGTTTTGAACAACCTACGAAGAATGACGGAAGCCAATAGCTTGGACGCAATCGGAAGTAAACTTATCCCCCGATAGTTGTTACAAGAACGACGTGAACCCTTTTTAAAGATAGGGACAACTATCGACTCATTCCATGACGTTGGCACACTCTCTAGTTCCCAAACCTTTGTAAACAACGTCGTCAATTCCTTAGTCAAAAAGTCACCACCATCTTTAAAAAGAGCCGGAGGTAAGTCATCTGGGCCAGGTGATTTGTAACGCTTCAAGAGTTGGAGTTCCTTGCGGACTTCCTCCTCATTTGGTGGATCAGTCGTCACCGGCCATGGAGGGCAGGACAGTCTGACCGATGTTGCTGGACCAGCAGGCCAGTTGAACTCCCCTTCGAAAAATTCTGCCCATCGTCCAAGACGTCGATGGATGTTAGTGATTGGCATCCCATCATCCTCGAAGATTGTTTCACTCACACCAGACTTCTTGCTGCCAGTGGCTCGGATGAGTTGGAAGAGCTTCCGGTAGTTACCAGATGCAGCTGCTGCTTCCAGCTCATTAGCACGCATCGACCACCAGGCTTCTCGGTCCTTACGCAAGCTTTGCCCGATTTCCTTACGTAAAATCCTTCGTTTATGGTCAAACTCACGGTCACCCGGAGTAGACCGACGGGCTTCAATGAGTTGTAAGGAACCAGAAGAAACCCAGTGCTTAAAAGCGGGACGTTTCGCAAACCCACAACTGACTGTTCCCGCCATTTTCATGGCGTCATGCAATTGCAACCAATGCTCATCTATACTTTTCGGTGGAGTGGTAGCTAGCCTAGAGGCTAGCTCGGTTCGATACTTACTTGCAACAGAAGTTGCAACCAGCTTGCTAACATCAATCCGTTGATGGCGTTCACTTCGTTGTCCACTGAAAAGTAAGGCAAGATTGGCGCAGACCAAGGCATGGTCAGAGTCCAGATAGGTACTCCAAAAGGAGCGGCAGTCTTGTACACAACCACGCCAGCGGTAGCTGATCGCGATGTGATCAATCTGAGTCCAGGCTTGAGATGCAGAGGGAGGACGCCAGGTGGCACATCGGCGATGACTGTGCCGAAAGTTAGTGCTAGCCAGAAACAGGTTGTGGTCTGTGCAAAGTTGCAGTAGACGGTCCCCGTTATCTGACCTGCGACCAACGAGTCCCCATCGGCCACCTAAACGACTCTCTTCTGTGCCTAGACGCCCGACCTGAGCATTCAAGTCTCCGGCTAGTACTACAATATCTGTCGAACGCACTTTCTGGAGAAGAACAGATAACTGGTGGTAAAACTCATCCTTGATTGCATCCGGGCTGCAATCTGTCGGGGCATAGGCGGAGATGACGAAAAGACATCGTTTCTCACGCCGATTTCTTCTCACTTTGATGGAACTTTCTAATCTAACAGCACATAACCGACTGTTAATGGGGATCCAATCGACTAGTGCTGCCTCAGCTCTAGCGCTTAGTGCGACACTAACGCCTGCAAGACCAGACGAAGATGCCACAGGGTCCCCGGATAAGCGCACGTAAAACAAGCTTTTTGAAGTGACAGATGTAGAGCGAATTTGTAGTACTTCGCTAGAGTCTTGAATACGGGTCTCGGATAGACAACACACGTCGATATTAAGACTTTCCAAAGACATAGCCAGCCCTATCTGTTGTCCGACCTGCATAAATGTGCGAACGTTGAAGGCAGCCAGTTTGAATGGTGCACGTGGTTTCAGAAAATCTGCTTCAGTCCTCGTATTCGGTGGTAACATACAATTTTCAACCGGACAGTGACTCGAGAACGTTTAGATACAGTCGGAATTCCACCAAAGACGAGCCGCTGTATAAGTATAAAAGAGGGTGAATAATGTGGGAAATAATAATAATAATGATAATAATAATAACAATAATGACAATAATAGTAGTAATAATAATATTAGTATTAATAATGACAATAATTGTAATGATAATAATCTGAATCAATTGTTTGTTTTTCAAAGCGACAAAAGTAATTTCCATAGACATAAAGAGTTCATCATTTGTATGTGGGCTGTGATACTGCCCGGGTGCCCAAACCGAAGCAGGTGAACATTCGCTTCCCTTCCTCTCAACTTCGTAAACAACATCCATAGTGTTAGAAGGTAGTGAGTAGAACTTCCTTGTCAGTAGTTGTATGTACGTGGCCAAGTAACAGTATTTGTAGAGGGAGAGCTGACTCCCTCCACTCTCGGCCGTACCAGGTGATTTGGGGGCTATAGAAAAAATAGTAAAAAACTTTCGTTACTGATACAATATATACTACTGAATAATTACAATTTAGAAATCTTTTGCAATATTTTACATTTGGTGTTGGGAATCCTTTGTTGTAATAAAATTTATATTACTCCATGGAGTTATTATTATTGTTACTAATGATCATGAAGATGCATAGCTTACAAAGAAGATAATTCTGTACTCTTTGGATTTAAGGAGACTTTTGATAATATTATCATTACTACTTAATATATCTAGGATTATTTAGTGGTTGAGATCATGAGTCAATTGAAGCTAGACCACCATGAAAAACCTAGAAGCACTAAAAGACCGTTTTGTTCTGTTGTGGGAACCCTCCTCCTAGAATCTCTCGAGGTTGGATCGTGGATGCGCACTGCCATTGGGGAGTCCCATGCAAGGGTGAAACGGCTGTCCAGTGCTTTCTGGTTTTCCATAGTGGTTTAGCTTCAATTGAACCATGATCTCAACTATTAAAGTTATTATTTATTTATTTATTTGAACACATAAATATTGGTAAAAAGAAGCAACGAATACAACTGCGCTATACAAGTCACCTGATTTGTGTGTGTGGGCTGTGATACTGCCCGGATACCCAGACCGAAGCAGGATGTTTACTAAGTGAAAATTAAAAACCAACATTGAAACACCATCATCATCATCATCATCATCATCATCATCATCATCATCATCATCATCATCATCATCATCATCATCATCATCATCATCATCATCATCATCATCATCATCATCATCATCATCATCATCATCATCATCATCATCATCATCATCATCATCATCATCATCATCATCATCATCATCATCATCATCATCATCATCATCATCATCATCATCATCATCATCATCATCATCATCATCATCATCATCATCATCATCATCATCATCATCATCATCATCATCATCATCATCATCATCATCATCATCATCATCATCATCATCATCATCATCATCATCATCATCATCATCATCATCATCATCATCATCATCATCATCATCATCATCATCATCATCATCATCATCATCATCATCATCATCATCATCATCATCATCATCATCATCATCATCATCATCATCATCATCATCATCATCATCATCATCATCATCATCATCATCATCATCATCATCATCATCATCATCATCATCATCATCATCATCATCATCATCATCATCATCATCATCATCATCATCATCATCATCATCATCATCATCATCATCATCATCATCATATGTTTTGAAAACTTATCTTTATTACTTATCCCTACCACTACCAACCTACATATCAATGTATCCATCTACCAATCTACTTAAAGTTGTATTCCTTTTTACTTTGATTTTAATGACATACATACCAGTTAAGATAACCGATATATCGATTCAACTTATAATCGATAATGAAACAAACGGATGTGTTATTACATAATCTAATAGATACTGATACTTGTGTTACATATGTAAACTGTTTTTCAATGTCAACTTTCCTTGTTTATTTCATACATACGTATAGATGCTGCTTATCATCAGTTACTTACTTACTCCTTTTACTTTCAATAGAGCGTAGGCCGCCAACCAGCATTTTTCAACCTCAGTCAGTCAGTCAGTCAGTTACAACGTAGGACCAGGCATATATATGGATTAGTCCGAGTTGCTATATAGCATTAGCACAGCAAGATGAATACCGGATTCATAGAAGTGGTTAGGTCGATATTTATTGATAAGAATATAAAACCTACATCGTCTAAAGCACAAATTGTAGTGTATGCTACTGATGTCGACAGATATAAGTAGTATGTATCATCAATAGAAAGTGAAATGTCTTAAGGGAAAAGGTTAAGAAGATCAAAGAAAAGAGAACTAGGACAGAGAATGATTGCTGTGAAAACGTAGAAACAATGAAGTCCGAGACGATTGATTGATGTTTTATAGAATGAAGTATTTACTGTATGATTCTCAGATTTTACTAAGATGTTCTATAATTTTGTGCTGAAATACATTCGATTGTTCCCACTGCTATCCTCGTTCACTAAAAAAATAACCACGAATGAAAAGAAAACGCTTTACATGAACAAGAATTTCAAGAGTGATAGACCTACAGACGTTCTAAAGAGGAGAATTTCCGACACTCTAAAAAGAACAGTCTTCTTAGAAACGTTGTGAATAGTGTTCCCCAGCCGATCAATGTCCATCAATAATCTTAAGAATGGATTATCTCATCTGATCAACTCTATGTGCATTTATCAATTTACCTGCTCATGCGAAGTCAGGTATTTAGAATGTTTGATGCGTACTGCATCCAAAAACATTCAAGAAAATTACCCGGCTTAGTTAAAAAAAAAAGAGGCAAAAACGGCTCAATTAGAAGCTCAATAATCGAACATATTGTGAACACAGGTCATACAATCAAGACATACTTTAAGGTTCGAATTCATCTACATGGTGTGTAGAAAGCTGTCAAAGGCAGTTATATTCCATCTTCCCATTATTGCCGAGGCAACTGCTATACATCGAGGAAAACAAGAATTATTTGTCCAAAAGAACCAAGTACAATATTTTCCTCTACCATGGTCTTAATCTTTCATACTTTTTTTCTTTCACAGCCATCTGATTCCCCTTCTGTCTTCTCTATAGACCTTTTAACCCCACATGTCTTACTTCTGATTCTATGATCTTCCTGATTACAGTTCATCTCAATTTTAACATTTTATGTTATCTTGCTGAACCTTCCTATCCCTATTTATCCTTATGATGAATATTCAGTATTGGGAAGATTGTTGGTTTTATAATTGAGATCATGAGTTGATTAATGTTAGACCATCATTGAAAACCTGTAAGTACTGAACTGCAGTTTCGTCTTGGCACAGAACTCCTCAATAGTGCGCATCCACGATTCTGCACGCTGAACTCCAATCCAGGACCCTCATTCTCTCATGCGAACGCTTAACCTCAAGACCACCAAACCTGCATCCAACGGCATTAATGTCCAACTTGAATTAATCCGTCATCCATTGTATTCAGTGTGTAACAGCCTCACAACAGTTTCCCTGATAAAAATAACGATGTTAGGCCTTTTCTATTCTATCTCACTGTTACCATGTTTAACAGAATTTCATTAACACTATATAATATAAATAAAATAAGAAAGCCAGTGCATTCAAAGATTGTTTGGATCTGGGGTTTTTTTTGTGTCAACCCATTCGTACTTCACTCACAATTGTATTCAAATGTAAAATTCAGTCCACTAACTTAAATGTCTACATAAAGTTATCCGTTTTGAAACCATAGAAACTTATCCAATCGATGAATAATTAACCAAGTTTGATACTTTCTCATTCCTCTGTTCTACAAAAAAACCATTAGTACAAGTTGTAGTTTTATTTCATTGATTAATCTAAGTTGAACAAACAAACAAACCAAAAGGAGAAAGTTCTGAAAAGATGTTTCACGTTGATTTGAGACTCCTCAACAATATAAAAAACACTGCTCAATCAGTAATCGAATTCATGAACTTCAAGCGTCGTACATATCTTACTGAAGAGTGCCGACTGTCACAAAACCTAGATGCTCCGAGGTTTTCTTTCAATGGCTTTTAATCATCTGTAATCGAAAGACAATTATCAAACGTAATAGTTTCAGATAAATTACCTAACTGAGGTTTGTCTAATCTTCATCTCGTTCTGGTTAGACAAACCTTTGTTTATTCACAAGGGTTGTTTTCATTTTCCGATCAAGTCACAACAACCTCATGAGTGTCTATATTCGATTCGAAGAAACAATCTATAAGTAGCCCTGGTTGACCTTAGTTCTATAGTAGTTACCAATTTTCAGGAATTTGTACCAACACTCTTAAGAGAAACATGGTTAACCAACGGTATTCTAACACATATCACCAAAACATATTTCCCGATACACCATAATAACAAGTATTGGCTAGCATGAAGCCTCGTAAAAGCACGGGTTGAATTTGCTACATAAAACCACCTAAGCAAGTAAAACCTTAGCTTAATTGCATACATGTGTTATTTGTTCATGACATTCTTCCATTCTTCTCGTTATCACTACTAGTATGACTATGTATTATGTCCTATGGAATAACTGTGATTTACTGCCTATTCAACGGAATAAAACTGATATTATATGATGTGAGAAAGAAGCCAAGGCTATAGATGAAGAATTTATTACTCACCAACTATCGATTCAAAAACTGTCCCAAAATTATATTGAATTATATCTGATCTACTTATCCGACCAATAGGCAGATTTGAATATATATATATAAGTTCATGAGTTGATCTAAGCTAGACGAGCTCGATGGCCGTTTCGTCCTAGTACAGGATTCCCCATATTCAGGGTCCCGCACCAAAGGGACTCGAATTCAGGTCATTCGAGCTGAAGCACGAACACTTAACCTCTAGATGACTGAGCTGGCATCTGACGGTGTTAGTGTCAAACTCCAACCGATCCATGATCTTACACAACCCTTCATCCATTGCCTGAAGTGAATTACTGTCTCCACCCAGCACGGATTGACCTCCAACGACCAAGCCTTCTTACTAGAACTCTAGGAAATCGATCCTGAAGTTAGTCACTAGTGTGCACTTGATTATCATCAGATCATGAGTCGATTGAAAGTAGACAACAACACAGTTGGATGCCAGTTCAATCGTCTAGATGTTAACCGCTCGTGTACAAGACCGAAGGTCCTATGTTGAAGTCCTCAGTGTCAGATAGTAGGTACGCACTACTGAGTAGTGCCATACTAGAATGAAACGACTGTCCAGTACACCTAGTTTCTCAATAGTAGTCCAGTTCAGATCAACTCATGAAATCAGCTATTAAAATTACTACAATCTCCATAAATCTCCCATTCTGATATATATATATATATATATATATATATATGTATCTCAATAGTTAGTTGAGATCATGAGTCAGTTGAAGCTAGACAACCATGGAAAACCTAGAAGCAACCGACGACCGTTCCATCCTATTGTGGGACTTCTCAGTGGTACTAGACATCCACGATTCCACCTCTTGAGATTTGAACCCAGAATCTATCAGTCTCGCGCGCGCAAGCGCTTCACCACTAGACCACTGAGTCGGCACCCAACAATATTAATACCTAACTTCAACGAATCCACGAAATTGAACAATACATCCATCATTGTCATCAATGAGTTACTATCTCACAATAGACCCGGTTGAACTTCCCTAATTCAACTAGGCATTAAGTGATATGAATTAATCAATAATTTATTGCATTTACCCAATTAACTTTTTATGCTTCTTCTTCTTCTTCTTGACAATAATCTACAAACGTTTGCTATGCACTCGCATTTTGTTAACTAGTTTTTTTGTATTTTTGTATATAAATGAATAAACACAATAAAAATGATGAAATTGATCGGTATGTTTGTTTGCTTGCTTGTTTGTTTATTCTTTTTTCTTTTTCTTCTTTTCTTCTTTTTTTCTTCTTTTTTTGTTGTTTTTCTCTCTTATTGACGGCTGTTTCTAAATTGTACGTTGTTTTTTTTATTTTTCATATTAGAAATAATGAATTGCATAAAGATGATATTGGAACAATGAAATACATTCCAAGATCCTCTGTTGATGATATTCGTAACAACTTGTTGTTGTTATGATTTATGGTTTGTCTTTTTCTTCTTCTCAGTTTGTTCTTGTTAATCGATATTATCAATATAAGGGGTTGTGGAGATCATTGAGTTCGAATCTTGCAAGGCAGAATTGTTGTTACGTACTGCTACTGAGGAGTCCCATAATAGGACGAAACGGCCGTCCAGTGCTTCTAGGTTTTCAATAGTTGTCTAACATCAATCAAAAAACTGAATAATCTCCACAAGCCTGTACTGATAATTACCATGTGCTTAATAGTGATTAGCCTTGTGAGGGAATTCTCAAAGTTCTAGTGAAAAGCCTTGAGCAATGGAACTAATCCCTGTCGGGTAAAGACAGGTATCTACCTCAGTACAATGGAAGATGGTCGCGCAGTTTCGCTGATTGGTTGAGGTTAGACATTAACACCGTTAAATGCGGACTCAGTGGTTTAGAGGTTAAGCACTGGGTTCGAATCCCCTGAGCGGGATCGTGGATGCGCACTGCTGAGGACGAAACGACCGTCCAGTGCTTCCAGGTTTTCCATGGTGGTCTAGCTTCAATTGACTCATGAATTCAACTATTAAAATTACTATGATATCTACAAAACCTCTCTTTGATTTCATTTTTTATTGATGATACATACTACTTATATCTGTCGATATCAGTAGCACATACCACACTA